TAAATATTATATCGTCGCCTGGATAAAAGATTGTCACAAGTTACTTTTTGGATACGAAGCAAGAGTCATTTACTCTTCTCGCTTTTCTTTGCGGCATATATAAGCTTGCAACATTTATTTGTTTTTTTTTTCGCGAAGCACGCCATATACGTTTTTGTTCCGTTATTGGTGGCAATTTCGTCGCTACCTTGTCGCCGACGTGGCGACTAAACAAAAAAGCGGTGGCAACGGAACGTTGTTTTTCAAAAAAAGGCGAGTCTGCGCGAACGAGAATAATAGGTCTAACGCTGGTGGTTTTTTTGAATAACACTTACCAACATTCAACAAGAGAGCGAAAAAAAATCGTTCATCGGATATGGCGTTTGCGTTTTTCATGGGCTGCGCCCAGACATATCGCGAGTAACAGTCGATGGCTACGAAGATCCATTGGTTACGATTTTTAGACATGGGCAGATTACCGACGAAGTCAATCGATAATTGTCTACCCGGTCGTTTTGGTTCTCTATGTTCGCCGTGAGGTGTTTTGGTGCTCTCATTACTTGGTTTAATGCGGTGGCATAGTTCACATTGCCGAACGTACTGGTAAACGGAATCATACATGTTTGGCCAGTAATAGCGTTGTGAGATACCTCTATAAGTTTTCCAAACACCCTGATGCGAATGTTGGTTATGATTTTCATCGAGGACTTTTGCTCTGTCAGAAGATGGTACACAAAGTGTCCACAGTATTTCCGCACTTTGATTGGAAAATTTCAATCGATGATATAGGACGTTGTTCTCGATTTTATATCTATCTAATGGTTGTTTTGAGGCCATGGCATGCATTTTGTTGTACCATTTATCGCACGTGTTTGGGTTAATGTTGATCACGGATGTGATTGGGGTACGATTAACGTGAAAATTACTCGGAAGGTCAATTGGATTTCTACGAACGATGTTGAGAAGAGCAAAATAACGAGATAAGGCGTCAGGAAATTCTAAATGTTTTCCTGGTTTATGAATAATTTTGAGATCGTATGGTGATAATCGGATCGCCCAACGGCATAAACGTCCAGTCGGTTCTTTGAGAGTTTGTAGCCAGCGCAAAGCTGCATGGTCCGTTACCACAACCAATTCACGACCCTCAAAATATGGACGGAACTTTTGGACCGCTAAGAGAACGGCTAGGCATTCCCGTTCGGATGCTGTGTAATTTTGTTCCGCTTTCGAGCATTTCTTAGAAAAATACTGAACCACACGTTCATTCCCATCATGTTCTTGTACTAGAACAGCACCCGCTGCGATAAGCGAGGCATCGGTATAAACCTTGAATGGTTTTGAATAATCGGCCATAGTCAGAACGGGAGAGGTAGTTAAACACTCTTTGAGTTTGAGAAAGGCTTGTTCAGAAGCGGTATTCCATTCAATGGGTCCTTTTCGGTTTCCTTTATACAATTCACAAAGGGGAGCTGTGAAATTGGGAATAAATTTTTGGTACCAGCCTGCTGCACCAACGAACCGTCTGACTTCTTTTGCCGTTTTGGGCCGTGCAAATTCAACAATAGCTCGAATACGAGATGGATTCGCAGATAGACCTTCTTGAGACAAAACGTAACCCAGGAATTCCAATCGTTTACAACAAAAATTCGATTTGGATGTTGAGATGGTTAAGCCGGCCCCAGCCAGACGTTTTGCAACAATAGCCAATATCTTAACGTGTTCTTCAAACGTCGAAGTGCAAATTATGAAACCATCGACATATGCGAAATGCATGTGGAACCAAATCACGGAACATTTTATCAATGAGAATGGCTAATGTGGCGGGTGAATTTCTCAACCCCATCGTCATGCGACGAAAAGCATAAAGTCTTTTACCGAATGCAAAAGCGGTTTTCAGTTGACTCGATTTTGCCAAAGGAATTTGAAAGAAAGCTTGAGACAGATCAATACTGGTTAGGAATTTAGCTGACTTTAGTCGTACTAAAATTTGGTTAGTATCCGTAATTGGATAGGCATTTGGAATAGTAATTTTATTCAGCTCTCTCGCGTCCAAGCACACGCGACACGTTCCGTCTTTCTTCTTTACAGCCAGAATTGGTGACCGGCAAGGGCTTTCTTCGATCCAATTCGGCTTGAACTTGTTCAGCAACATATGGCGATACTGGATACTGGCGTTTCATGATGGGTTTTGCATCACCCGTATCAATTACGTGTTCGATCTGATTAGTGACATTTAAAGGACCAGACTTGGGAGTTGGATTAAAAAGTCTGAAAACGGCGTCCAACATTTGTCTTTGATCTGGGGTGAGATTATGTGGAAGGCTGACGCTCGTTATTTTTGGGGTATCTAGTTCACCCTCTAAACCGAGTGTGGAAGCGTCAATTGGCTCCAGATCATTACTGATAGAAGATACCTGAGCTTGTTCTTTCCCACTCCCTGGTGGCTGGTTACAAAAATTAATAAATTTATCCGCCTTAACCATTTCGACTTTAGCGGATGCAACTTCTTCAGTATCACCTTTGGCTGTATGTTTTAAAAATCGTTGAACTTTCTCTTGGTTCTGCACCAGTTCGAAAAAGAAGGCCTCAAGGAATGTCCGTCCCATAATTGGGTGTTTCAGTGAGATAGGTACGACAAGAGTTGGCACCAGTCGGGTAAGACTACCGACCGTATATAATACATCCACTTTACCAATGGCCTTAAAAGAAATCGAATTATCGGCAAGACCAATGGAGGTTTTGGTAGGTTGCAACTGCCCCCATCTGTACTTCTCATAAAATGTTTGTGAAATTACTGTGACTTCGGCTCCACCATCGAGTAAAACCGTATGAGAATGGTTGTTAACCGTAACCGTGAGATAATCGCGACAATGTAAAACATTTCTCTGAGATAAAGAAAACATCGCGGAGTCGTGGTTGGTTAACTTGATTGACTGCGTCTTGCTGGTGAGTAGGGACTGGAGCTGAAGTAGGTTTGGTAATTGGTAGTGTTCGTTCAGAACATTTAGTTGATGGCTCTTTGCCATCCCTTTGAGTTTGATTAGATTCATTAAGAATCAGAGTAGAATTATTGCTGGAATTCGGGACTGAAGATTTGTCGATTTGTAGAGGGACTTCGGTAGAGTGCGGATTGTTAGAGACAGTGGATTTAGATAAAGTTGTGGATTCTGAGTACGATGGACCACTATTCCCAATCGACTCCCTTACGCGTTTTTTGAACACGGGCATTGATCAGACGTAACTCCTGGTCGTGAACATTTGTAGCAGATCACCCTATTCGGTTGGGTTCGACACTTTTTGAAGTGATGGCCCCACACGAGACATTTTGCACATCGTACATTTTCGTCGACCTCAACAACGAGAAATGGGTCGACGATAGTTCCTACTTTCGTATCATTCTCTTTTGGATTGTTGTCATTTTTATAATCTCCGACTGGTTTCGAATACTTACGTTTCTGAGATGCTTGTTCTTTTGCTTGTTCAAGTATGCACATTCCCTGTCGTCGGAGTCGGACCCAGGAAATGAAGCGGTATATTCCGAAGGTGAAGAATCATCCGGTGGATCATGTATTGCCGAAATTTTCCGTGGCGCTGATCGCTGTCTATCCGAACGGGTTCTTTCCTGACGGGGTGTGGCAACAATGAACGAATGTGGTGCGATTCGCTGAGCGAACTCACGCAATTGCTCCAACGTGTGGACTTATCTAGTGTGGACGAGTTCACGCAGATGATCGGATGAGGTACCAATGATGATATCGAGGTGGTCCCGTTCATCCAGACCACAGGAATTACCCTGCAGTGTGAGCAGTGTTTGCGAACGTGGGTCGAATTTAATCTGTGCATATGACATTATTACTTGGGCCCGAGTATGTTTGTTGAGGAAACGAGCTCGAAGTTTCGAGCAAAAATCTTGATAATCTCTGAAGTTCCTCAGTTCGGTGAAGTACCATTGTAGAGCGGCCCCCGTGAGTGTGGGCACCAAACGCGTAACCAATTCGTGGTCGGGTACTCCAATCTTATATCGAAATGAGCCAATAATAGCCAAATAATCTTCAACCGATAGAAATTTTTCGTTCACATGAACGCCATCGAATTGAGCACGTCCCATCCATGATGGTAAGCCTCGGAATTTCCTATCCATTGCATCCGCTTGGGCAGATTCGTCGAATACAGTGGCTTGATTTGGTCGTGATTGTGGTGGACCGGGTAACGAATAATTCTGATATAAATGAGATGGTTGATTAATTGGTTCTTGGATATGTGACGTTCTAAGACCACGGTAGGTATTGATCGTTTGAGTTTGTAAGGTTGAAGGACCACCCAAATAACCATAAGGAGGTGCCACCGAGGGTGGTATCCAGGTATGATTTCGGGTCGTTGGCATGGTTTGGTTCATGTCACGAACGTCAGGTATTGGTGTCTGTAAATGAATCCGGTC